GGGGGGGGTGCTTTCTCACTGTCCCTTTTTCTGTCTCTCTCTGGCCTTATGGCAAAACCTAAATAAATAAATAAATAAATAAATAAGTGGTGGAGACTAAAAGGGCCGGGGATCATCTCCCTCCCCTCTCCCTGGCACGAGATGGGGTGGCGTGGGGGACAAGTGTGCTTGGCACCTTTCTGGCCCTTTCTGTCACGTTCTCCCGCCTCCCTGTGTTCCTTAGCATGGTGGTCACTGGGTGACCAGATGTCCTGCAAAAGCACCCCCCGTGGGCTGGTCCCCACCCTCTGGGTGCCACAGGTCCCTTTCCCAGCACGGCTAAGCTCAGAGACTCTGAGAGAAGGGAAGTTGCATGGCCTAATTCAGACTGGCCCACACATTGCGTATAACTGCGGACTCGGTGAGACCTATTCATATTTTCCAAAGACGGGGCTCGTTAGCTTGTGTGAGTCTCTGGAAGCGGGGGCAGAAGGAAGGGAGGAGACGGAGGAGGGGATGTATGACTCAAACTAGGGCAGTGTGGCTTGCTAGGCTTTGCAATGGGAGCAGGGAGCCTGACCTCCTGGGTATCTGTGCCCTGCGGTAGGCTCCTCAAGTCAGATTCCTTCTTCCCCTTCTGGGTCCTCAGCTTCTCGGAAGTTCTCTGCTTTTTCCAGTTCTGTTTCTGGAAGGTCTTGAGTCAAAGGAGGAGGAGCCCAGGGAGCAGAGTGGGAATATCCCCTGACAGCTGCGGTTACATGCAAGCTGAGCACCAAACTCAGGTCGGGCCCCTGGTATGTGAGCAGGGCCTGGAACGCATGGGGTAAAGGGAGGTGAGCACCTCCTCTTCTAGGAGTTTCCAGCCCTTTCATCTTTATCCAGGCTACAGAAAGTTCCTATTTTTTCCCCCTTTTTTTGAAGAGGTTTTTGCTATAGGGTGTGTGCACTCTCCAGAAAGACAGAGAGAGACAGAGAAACAGAAAGTGAGAAATCACCCCCCAGGGGGGATGGCCATGCCACAATCCCTTCTCCTCCATTCCCTTCTCGGGATCTTGGGCACGCACACACACGCACCCAGCGTGAGTTTAAGCCATCAGGTCCGGGACTCAAACCGCGGTCGACTACATGGGAGTCCAGCTACATAGCAATTACACCAACTGCTGGTCCCAGGAAGTTCCCTCTGTCTTTCTGGCAAGCGCATGTGCCCTCTAGCAAACTCCTCTCCAAAAAAAAAAGAAAAAGAATTATTTATTTAACTTTATTATTATCTAATTCTTTTTTTAAAAATTGTTTTAATTATTTATTTAATTTTACTGATTCACTCAGTCATTTTCATTTGACCAGAGAAAAACAGGCACACAAAGAGAGGAAAAGTGTGAGAGCAGGCCACTAGGTCCGACACTCGAACCATGGTCGGCCATGTGGGAGTGTCAAGCACCTTAACCACCACACCACCTGCTGGTCTTATTATCATCTAATTGTTTTTAGGGCGTGTGTGCTCATCAGAGAAAGAGAGAGTAAGCCAGCTGCCAGGTCTGGGACTTGAACCATGGTCAATCATATGGGGGAGTCCAGCACCCTAACCACCACACCACCTGCTGCCCCCTCCGCCTTTTTTTTCTTTGAGGGTTTTGCCATAGTGTGTGTGCTCACTGGACAGAGGCAAAGAGAGGAAACACGAGAAATCATTCCCCCATTGGCCGCACTGGAACCCTTTCTCCTCCATTCTCTTGAGATTTGGGACATATACACACACCTGCTCCCAGAATGATTGTCAAGCCCCCAGGTCCAGGACTCGAACTGTGGTCGGCCATGTGGGAGTTCAGCACCTTATCTGCCATGCCTCCTGCTGCCCCTCCAAATTCACTTTGTGAACTGCAATGCACGTGACCAGTCCCTGAGGGAAAAGCAAAGTCACTCCTATTCCTACAGCAAAAGAGTCACTGCCTTGTCAGCGGTTTGCTCTCCCAGGGGGTGACCATCTCATGCCCACCCAGAACAAGTGACCACAGGATTTCCACAGAGACAAGAAGCCACAGCCCCTGGGCTAGGACGCCACCTCCTGGCATGGATCTGGGGCCCTGGAGCCGAGTGTGGGTTCATAGCCAGCCGATCCTTTTAGTACTCTTGCACACGGCATCCTAACTTGACCAACCTCTTATAGAAGCCTCTAGAATCTGATGCCAGTGGCCCGGACAGAAGATGAAGTCAAGTTCTAAATCCCAGGAGCATGACTGAGCTGGTAAACCCGAGCCCGGGTGGCACAAGTGTTCTGAGGCCCTTCCGAGAGAAAGCTCAGGTTGTCTGTGAGTCAGCGTGGGGAGCGTGTGTGACCCAGTGGGCTGAGCGGCTTCAAGTGTCTGTAGATGGCTCTGTGTGGGGACCTGAAGCTGCGTCCTAGGTAGGACCCCACCTCCTGGCAGGGACCCAGGGCCCTAGAGCAGACTGTGGGTCTGCAGAGAGCCAGGACCCAGCAGCCCCGATGGACTCTGGGTGGAGATATGCCCATACAGGCCAAAGACAGACAAAGCTCTATTCAAAGCGCAGGAGGAATGCAGGATGGCAGTGTGGCCTCCTGGAGGCCAGGACGCTTTTAATTAAAATAAATTCCAGTAACCCTGAGCTCACTTCCCTGAGGCTGTTCTAAGCAGGAGCTGGGACAGCCAGGACAGATTTCATTAAGAGGCAGGCCTCCGTGTGTGATGTGACAATGACCTTTTGTAGCAGTCTCAGAAAATAGTCTTTACTCTGTACTGATGGTTACAATCTTTAAGGACCCCGGGGACTTAAAGATGGAAAAGTCAAATAGCCTCACATGAACCCAGAGGAGCTCTCCCTTAAAAAAAAAAAAAAAATAGGGACCAGCAGTTAGTGTAATGGCTATGTCGCTGACCTCCCATGTATTCGACTGTGGTTCGAGTCCTGGACCTGGTGGCTTAAACTCACGCCGGGCGTGTGTGCGTGC